TCAGCTGCCAAGCGCCAAGTTCAGGACCCTAAACCCTAAACTCATTAGTAATCAGCTGCCACGCGTCAAGTTCAAGCCCTTTCTGGAACTGTCATGGCTTATAGTGGCACTGATGGTCACCGCACCCACGGCAACAGACAACAACAATGGCACTTGCCACCTTAGTGCTCTTTTCGGGTTTAGGGTTTGGGGTTTAGGGTTTAGGGTTGCCACCTTGGTGCTCGTTTTTGGAATAAATGATGCAAGCCGCGTGGTTACAGGTCCAAACTTGTGAAAACTCTAAAGACTAGACTAGACAGCACATTCTATTTTTGGTCAGGGGGAGAAATGTGGAGTTCCCGAATGTTAAAAACAATTACGAAGGATACCAAGAAAAATACTCCCTAAACCCTAAACCCTAAACCCTAAGAATCATTAATCTCTAAAAGCAAGAGCTAAGGCGGCCACCCACTGTAGCTGACTACCACGCAGCCGGATAGAAGGCCGGCCAGTCCTGCCATAAGGACGTAGCAGTTTCGCTTCTTAGGCTTATAGGGTTTAGGGTTTAGAGTTTAGAGTTTAGAGGTTTAGGGTATAGAGTTTAGGATTTAGGGTTTAGTGTTTAGAGGTTTGGGGTTAGGGTTTCGGGGTTTAGCGCTTAGGGTCTGCGGTGCCACGAGTGCATAGCGGTTTGTTAAAGTATGACGGGTGCCTTTTTTGAAGCTTCTTATAGGAAGGATCTTGCTGTTAAGGGTCGATGTTGAGACTGGTATACTCCGAAACTCACTAAGTCACGAAGCTACCATGACGTCACAATCTAGAACGGGTATGGCAATTACCACAAGTCCTGAAAAACCTCTAGCTGAGGATGACTCGGGATGGCCTGCAAGTCACCTGCCAGTTTGACCACCCCCCTTCGGAATCCCAAGGGGGGGGTGGCCGGAAGCATGCCCCAAGATATCGACAAACTTCGACAACAAAGCAACCCAATCCGTTGTCAGTCCTGCCAGAAGTACTTGTAATAAGGCGAACGCAATCTGCTGGTGATTTGATGCTCGGGCAAGGATGATGGTCTTGCCCTCTTCTTGGGCCCTGTAAGCTTCGTAGCCACACCACAACCTTGGAATCGCATTGTCTTGGTGATGGTTAATTCGTTCGGCAAGGCGTTTCAGGCAAACACCTACGCAGACACAGGCAAAGAAACGTACTCACATGCATGTACGTGCATGCAGGCATGCATGCATTGACATCGGCACGCACAAAGAACTGTTGTGGCCCGTGAGCATACGTGCAGTAGCATCTGAGCTCATCGACACTAACAACCACACTTGCATGCATATATGCCAACTTGCACATGCACAACATACCCTAACTTACCTTACCTTACATACATCACAATGCACCGCAGACCGTTACATTCACTCACATTACGGAATAGCTGATGGCAAACCTCACTTGCATTTGCTAGCAGTGCATACATCAACAGCCATTGCATTTCCCCATCTTGCACAGCCATACATTAGACAACCATACAGTACAGTACGTACGTACGTACGTACATACATACATAAAGACATACATGCACACCCAAGGGCAGAAAAATCTACTCCTACACTAATTAAAGTAAATGCTGGCTTCCGGACGAATCGGTTCCAGTGAAGGGAACAAGGGCTCCGGATGTGCAGTGTGCACCCGGTCGAAGGCAAGTTTAGGGTTTAGGGTTTAGGGTTTAGGGTTTAGGGTGCAATCAAGAATTGAAGCCAGGTGTTGCATACAATTCCCGCCATGGTTAAACATCCCACAAGCACTGTTGCAACGTAAGAGGCAGACATCGTTCTGAACAGGAGCTGCCGAGAGTCTCTCGGGAAACTAGGTGAGCGTTTTCCGTCCGTATAGGCATCAAAGCTTAAGAAAGTTTATGTGCCTGCAAAAGAAAGGGCAAAATACTTTTCCTGAAAAGGCATCAAACTTTCCTCTCCGGACATCCCGGCTTCGTGCTAGCCTTGATACATGTTATGTGGGTCGCTAAACGCAGAAGAACATCTGTATAAAGGAATCAGGTACCCCGACTGTATATGCAGCGAGAATGCCTGTCTGTTACAACCTCTGCCACTATTCCGAAGCTTAAGCTGCGATCTACCCGTTCCTGCACAACACCCGGCAGGGATCTGCCTTCTCGCTACCTGTTCCTACTATGGCGTCCCAGGTTTATGTGCTTTTTGCTCGCAGGGTCCGTGCATACAAGTATGCGTGCATACATGATTACTGAGTTATGTACGACCCATGCATACCGCGCCTGTGAACCTACGGACGTACGTACGTGCGAATCTACCTGCGTACACTGATACATGCATGAATGCATACCTGCAGACACTCATTTATAAATACATCCATGCATGCAATCCACCATTCATGCATCCATGCATCCATGCATCCATCCATCCATCCATCCATCCATCCATCCATCCATCCATCCATCCATCCGACTAACTACCCAGCCATGATTTGTACTCTCGGATGCAAACATGCACTTATGTTCAGCCTGTGCAGAAAAGGACAGCACCGGCTAAGAACCCATTATTAGACAACCAAACACACAACACGCAAACACATACATATACTCGAAATGACAGGGCAACAAACCAAACCAACGGATATAGGTAAACGGGCACGTAACTGAATGTGTATGTCGTGCAAAATAGAAATGCGATGATTCAGATACCGTATCAAGATATATTTAAATGTGTTTGCAACACACACGCACACACCTGTACATATATATATATATACACACACACATTTATACATATGTATATACACAGTGGTCACAGGCGTGTTCGTTTCGAACACGAGCCCGCCTGGTGTAGATGCTGCAGCGGCGGTTTGGCACCACAAGAACGCGTTTCGAGGCCTTGAGTGCCCAGTGCAAACGGCGAGCTGATTGGAGACTGCAGCAAGGAGCCGATGTCCAAGTGCTGAGGGTTTAGGGTTTAGGGTTTAGGGGTTTAGGGTTTAGGGGTTTAGGGTTTAGGGTTTAGGGTCAAGTGCTGAGGGTTGGCCAGCATGCAGCACCAGGCATGTCGTGCATCTAGAGGCCAAGAATGCAGGACCTTCGAGAGGAACTCGAACACACCCTCCTGCCATGCATGGCTGATGAAAAGATCACAATCCAAACCACCCGGATGTAGCAACAAGGCCCAGCTCACTTTGCCATATTTCTCCGTCACCGGCATGATGTGCTGCTTGTTCACTGTGTAGATGCTTGGACCATACGTTGTGTCAAGGACCTGAAAATCGTCACTTCCATCATCCGGCTGTTGGATCTCCCCACTTAGGATAGCCTTCCACACCTCCTCGCGCAAGTACTTTAAGTCCGCACGTGTGATGCACCAGCGGTCCGGGGGAACCGTCTCGTGGCAGGCGGTGGCCTGCAAATTGGTGTAGACTCGAGTTCCATGCCGAAGCGCCGTAGACATGCTGATCGTATTCTCTCCATCTATCCCGGTACCCTAGGAATAGAACGAGGCCTCTTTTTGATAATTGGCAGTCTTCACAAGGAACCTAAAACCACAAAAAGAAGGAGGGCCCACTGGAAGACCCATTATAGGCGCCTTAATAATTAGAATAGGCTTTGGGGATATAAAAGGAACCCCCGAAACCCTCTTCTAATTATTAGAGCCCGCAATTATTATTGTTGAAGCCCCTACAGTATAGCTATAATTATAGTATAATGGGCCCCAAAACCCTATTCGAACTATTAAGGCCCCTACACCCTGAAGTCTTATAGTAGCCCTTATAGAAAGAACCATTTGCAGGAGCCCTGTAAAGGAACCCCCCCAAGACCGTATTCTAACCGTCAAGGCCCCTACATTATTGTGTACGACCTGGGTATCCGCCATGCCAGGGTGCCGAGGTCGGGACCATGGTTAGGGTTTAGGGTTTCGGGTTTACAACTATAGGGTTTAGAGCTTGGGGTTTAGGGTTTGGGTTTAGGGTTTAGGGTGGGGGGTTTAGGCTGAGGGTTGCGGGGAAAACAGCAAACTTCAGCTAGACCTGGAAAAGAGGACGCCAGAGGAAACGAACTTCGTCGACCGTGACGTTTGGGGTGTATACAGGTCTAGTGTTTCGAGTATAAAAATCTATAAGGGTTTAGGGTGCTATTGGTTTGTTTTCCTGGACCGAGATGCTATACACAATGGTACACTTCCTGCTGCAGAGCCGACATCGGGTGAGTAAGAACGCAGCAGCTAGGATTCCCCAGGGCTCACAAACCCCAAATCCCAAGGGTTTAGGGTTTAGGGTTTAGGGTTTAGGGTTTAAAACAAAGGAACGCGTATCCAGTTCAAATCAAAATTTGAAGCCGCTTAGGGGTAGCTGAAACTCTGAAACTCGAACCTAAACCCTGCAACCTACCGTACCCAACCCTGAAAAACCTAAACAGGGTTTAGGGGGTGTAGGGGTTTAGGGTGTAAGGCTATTTAGGGTTTACGGGGATTACGTGGTGTAAGGGGTCTAGGGGGTTTAGATGGTTCAGATGGGTTTATCGGGTTCTGTTTTAGGGTTTAGGATTTAGTGGGTAGTGGGTTTAGGGCGTCGGGGCTTAAGGTTTAGGGCATGGGGCTGTCATTTCAGCATTCCTCAAACGATAAGGCCGGGGCTCCGTGAGGAATCGTCACTCGGTTCGGACTGTGACAGGTTTTTCTAGTTTGGCGCATTGGAGTCCTAAGCCGGAGATACACCCTAGTTGGCATTTGTAGCATCTATAAGCCCCACATCTCTACGAACAAATCGTGTTGGTGTTTAGAGTTTCACGCAGATGGTTTCGTTTTAGGTCTAGGGTGTCGGCACTCAACATCGAAGAAGAAGTACAGGCGACGGCAGCCTGGATACAGAGGGAGAAGACAATTTAAACTCCAAATCCTAACACTAACCGGAAGGCCCCAAACCCCAACCCCCAAACCTCAAACCTTATAAACCGTGGGCCTTGAACCCCAAAACCCCGGGAACCCTTACATCCAGACCTGCCTCGGGTACGGGTTGCCTTTGGACGCCCTTCCCCGCGTCACCCCACGAGGCTGCCGACTTTGAGTCGGGATCCATGATACCTGGGATTTCAAAATCAAAGTAATACCCGTTTTGAAGGAATAGGGACTCTGTAGGGTTTAGGCTTCTCAAGGGTCCATGTACCCAAATAGTATATACTCTGGCCTGAAGTCAGTCCCTATATAGGTACTGTGGGGCCACTGAATATACTATATGAGTACATGGACCCTTAGGGATAAATGCCTAAATAATTACCAACACTGTTTTGGGGGGTTCCGTATTTTAACTGTAGTATAGTATTTCCGGAAAAAGCCCTATTCGAATTGATTAGGCTTTTAAATACTATAAGATCTCCCTAAAATCCTTTTCCAGTTAGTAAGGCCCCCTACATTAGAGCCAGGATTGAGAAATGAAAAAACAAGGGTTTAAGCTTTGTTTTAAACTGATGTTGCCGAAGATTTAAAAACAAACCAAAACAGTGGGCTTTAGAGTCACATGCCTTGGGTTTTCCACGCTAGAAAGGTCTTCAGAGTTCAACATGGGTAGGGAGTATAAGTACAACTTCAGAGTTTGGGGGCTTCGGGGGTGCATGATGCCTCTGAATTGCACTTGAAGACTGGTGTTAGCCTTGGGGATTTTTTAAGATATAGGACTTAACCGTTCCTGGCTTCAAGGGCCCTAAACCCTAAACCCATAAACCTTGAACCCTAAAGCCTGACCCCTAAACCTACAAACCTTAAACCCCCCAACAAAGAGAGGCTTCTAGAAACTGGTTTGAAGATGGGGGCCTTACATAGTAATTAGAATAGGGTTTTGCGGGTTCCTTACTATAACTATAGTATAAGATACTCCCCAAGCCCTATTCTAATTATTAACGGCCCATAAAGGGATGTTCCAAGATGCAGCCTGTATCTCTGCCGTTCTCAAAGATGGCAAGAGCAATACCCTATGGGTTGAAGATTTGAGTGTTAACGAGCAAGGCCCTAAACCGTGTTTAGGGTTTAGGGTTTAGGGTTTAGGGTTTAGGGTTTAGGGTGCATCATCGCGCCTTTATCCCCGCAATGTGGATGGAACACCCATGACGAGGACGGGTAAGAATGAAGCGCCCTTCGACTACACGGTAGAAATCACGCCTTAAGGGCCCTACAGAATAGCCGAGGAGCCCTGGTCATTGAGCAGCTCCATAATATCTTCGAAGTCCCACTGGCTCACATCCTCGCCTCAGGGTTTAGGGTTTGAGGTTGGGGGTTTAGGGTTTAAGGTTGGGGGTTTAGGGTTTAAGGGTTGGGGTTTAGGGTTTAAGGTTGGGTGTTTAGGGTTCAAGGGTGGGGGTTTAGGATTTGGGGCTTAGGAATTCGGGGTTTAGGATTTAGGACCCCATGATCCTGCAATAGTGGCTATTGAGGGCATAATCGAGGGCAAGGATGAACTTGACCGTGCACGCACACTAGTCGTGGTCCTCCTCGGCCAAGGAGGACTCGTCCTCGGAAGATTCGAAGCAAGAGAATCTGACCCGGCGGCTTCAACCATACCTTAAGTGTGGTGAAGTCGCGGCAAGGGATCGGCGAAGCACGGCGAATAAGGTGCCTCGGCCGCCATACTAAACCCTAAACCCTAAACCCTAAACCCTAAAACCTAAACCCTAAACACAAATCTGCCCAGTCTGCCCGAGTTGTTGCGCATGCGCTCGGTAGAAGGCTTTCTCTGCAACTCGACTTTTTGTCGAGGCGGTGCGCGGCAGCGGCCCTTTTGAGTTTGCCACCTTTGATCTAGATCTTTGCTCCCTAAACCCTAAACCCTAAACCCTGGCTGCTTGGAGCTCTCGAGCCCAGGAGGACTGGTGCCTCTGCTCCGAGAAGCTATAGGGTTTAGGGTTTAGGGTTTAGGGTTTAGGGTTATAGGACTGACAACTTCGGCCCGCTGCCATCCACGACGGGGAGGTTCAGGGTTCAGGGTCTTAAGGTTTGGGGTCTTGAAACTTTTGTGGTAGGATCATATAAACCCCAAGAGGTTAAAGGTTACCTACTCAGCCACTCCCACAAAACAGTCTGGCAGGCCTAGATTAAGTAGTTCAAGCTTTGGGGCTTCGAAACTCGATTTCGAAGGTTAATTTGATATCGAATCGTTCAACCTAGGGTTTAGAAGTGAAGACATTCGATTTAGTAAGTTCCCGGTTCAGATTGGGCTTCGGATCTCGTTGGGTTCATGCCTGGCTTCTTGAACCCTAAACCCTAAACCCAATAAGGAGATGAGAACAGGGTTTTGGGGTTCCTTATTTTGTTTACAGTAAGGCCCCTATGGTATGGAGATGGTGAGATCTAGGGCGCCGCAGAAAGAAGGACGAATTACGATAAGCGCATGCATAGATGTATGTACCTATGTATGGATGTATGGTATGGGCATAAATATGCGTACGTGTGCATGTGTGTATGTATGTCTATGCATGTGCATGTATGTGTGTAGGTCTGCATGTGTATGGTTTTGATGAGCATGTGCATAGGCAACTGAATTATGTACATGTGCCAATCTATACAGAAATAAACAAATATAAACAAATGAACATATATATATATATACATACATATATATATATAGATACACGATAGGCATACACAGATACGTCAACGACATGAACACACAATCACATACAAAACCCGAAACCCTAAACCCCTAGGGCATTGGGGGAGGTCTAGGTTGGGTTAGGGGTGTCCAAAGAAGGGTCCCATCTGGGCTCAGGGTTTGGGGGTAGGGGAACACTGCTATTAACCATTCCGAGCCCTGTACGAAAGCCCCGACTACCCAAACCCGGATCCCTGATAACAAATCTTGGCTTTTGTGGGCTGCAGGTAGGGATTCTGGTGTAGAGTTTGGGGTCGGGGGGTTCGGGATTCGAGCTGTTGGGTCTAGAAATTCGGGCCTACTGGCTCGAGCCAGGATCTATCGGCTCAAGGCGAGCTGGAGGAGCCTCAAACCACCAGTCGCCGCGCCGACTAAAGACCCAGCCCAAACCCTTTGCCTGAAACCCCAAACCCTCAACCCTGAACCCTGAACCCGGAACCCTGAACCCTAAACCCTGAACCCTAAACCCTGAACCCTAAAACCTAAACCCTAAACCTGCCTGCCACGGACTTCAAGACCATGCCGATCCTTGCAAAACATACCCAGGATTTTGGGTTTACTGAGGGTTCAGGCTTTAGGCTTTGGGGTTTAGGTTTTAGGCTTGGTATGCTTGGAAAATTGAATCTGCAACTCCTGTTGTCGCTTTCTTAATATGTTCCGGTTCCTGTTTAAGAATTAAAGACTGATGTATGGTCGTGAAACATGAACATGAAGAATTAGTTGCCAGAGCGGCCCAGTTTAGCCTTTGGGTGGTTGGCCGGACACTCAGACCCTAAACCCTAAACCCTAAACCGGTTTAGGGTTGAGGCTTTTGGCGACCGGCCCTTGTGGACAACCTGACGGCACGCTGCCTCAAACTTCATGTTGACCAGTTGAAGTAAAATCCAGGTGGGAAGTTTAGGGTATGTAGGGCTCGTATACTGTATAAGGCTCCCATAAGGTATATGGACCTTCTCTAGGCTCCCGTAAGGTATGTAGACCTTCTAAAATGCTCCTATAACGGTAACTACCCACCTCAAAAACGTCTTAGACAAAATCATGTAATCAAGGAAGATGCCCCAAATCACAGTGGGGATTCTACTATAATTTCCAAAACTGCGTGAGATCCCTTAGTTAAGACATATATACCTCAATTTATAGTACTTGGACAGGGCAAGCTCAGTCGCTCTTGCTTAGGTCCTTTAAGCCTATGATAGGGTGCGATGATCGGGTGCCCTTTGAAGAAGGGTTCGATTAAGGGTATGGTGGGATTCAGTTTGCTTAGCGGCTTAGGGTCTGGGGCGCAGTGACGGGGGCGCAGGAGGGGAAGCCCTAAACCCTACACCCTAAACCCTAAACCGTGTGTGCAAGATTCCGAGTTGGCTTTCGGTCTTGCGTTTTCAGGGTCTAAGCTTCTGGGTTAGCGTTTACGTTTACGTTTAGGTTTAGGGTTTAGGGTTTAGGGTCGAAGTGTCCGAGTACCTAATAATCATATCCTCTTCCAAAAAGTAACCTGCAAAACTACTATCCGTAGCCCAAGTACCTAATTATTTGGACCCTTAGGTTTGAGGTGTTTGAGGTCTCAAGTTTCGGATTGCTTGCTTGATGAGGGGAGCTAACTGCAAGTGTGCTGTCGCTTCGGATGCACGGTGACTTTGGTAGTATAGATGCCAACATCAGTACCAATATCATTACTTAGGATCCGTTGCTAATTAATTATACTTATACTATTCAGGAGCGCAGTGCCCTATTCTAACCAGACCCTCCGCTATTGTGTCCTACTTCTATGTCCTGGGGATAACTATCTTGGCTAATGCATGCCGCACATGGCTGACAAACCCACCCTCTTCGAATCCAGTGGCACAGTAATCAACCCTAAACCCTAAACCCTAAACCCTAAACCCTAGACCCTTACCCTTCAACCCGGGAGGTGCAACAATCACAACTTGAACATCGGAGCCGAACTATGAAACTAGGGTCCTGGATAATGCGAGATTTGGGGCCAATTAGGGGTTTAGGGCTTTTAGGATTTGGGGTTTAAACTATCGCAGCAGATGTATAGTGAAGAAGCCTACTACAGTATTCAGGAGCCTAAATACAATGTAAGGACATGGCCGAACTCCACCGACGGCTGCTTGCCCCATGGCATCGCCAGGGTAGCGAGACTTGTCCTCCAGGGGTCATCATCTTGGCTGACTGCTGAGCCCCTCCTACAAGTGAAAATTTTTAGCCCACATATTATACGGTTTAGGGTTTAGGGTTTAGGGTTTAGGGTTAAGGGTTATAGTTCACATAGAAACCCAGAAAGTTAAAGTCCTGAGAGCCAACCAAGAGAACGCCAAGTCACCCCGGGGACCCCTACCAGTTCAAGGAGTAACGGGCCATAAAGTTTAAGGCTGATGTAGGGCTTCGTCACCTGAATCTCAACCGTACCAGCCCAACCACTTAGGTGCTTGTGGCCGTCAGTTTCGAAGTATCCGGGGGGGGGGGGTCCTGCGAGTGCTGCACGGCTTGGTCATCGATAGAATGACGGTCATTGCTAAAACCTCAACCGCCAAAGACCGACAGTTCAACTTAAACCCAGTCACCCCCAACCCTACCCCTAAGCTTTGCTGTATTACTTTGTGGGCGCGGGGATTCAGAATGTAGGGATGCCAAGGGTTCATTCAGGGTTCAGGGTTTAGGGTTTAAGGTTCGGGGTTAAAGGTTTAGGGTGTAAGGTTTAGGGTTTAGGCTTATGGATTTAGGCTTGTGTACTTCCAGCGGCACTTGCAGCTGGCTCTCCCAGTAAATCCCAGAAGCCGGAACCCATAAAGATCGAACCTTAAAGCTCAACAACCCTAAACCCTAAACCCTAAACCCTAAACCCTAAACCCTAAACCCTAAACCCTAAACCCTAAACCCTAAACCCTAAACCCAAGCCAACCTCTACAGAACGAAAGCCCACCGAGAGCCATGCCTGGGGGTTTAGGGTTAGGTTTTAAGGGTCCATGTACCCAAATGGGGGTTTCCGAAAATAGGGGACCCTAATATAGCACCCTAAATAGTAGGATCCCTATTATAAGGACCCCAAAATATGGTACCCTAATTTTCTGAAACCCCCAAATAGTTTTGGCCTTCAAGTAGTCCCTATAATGGTACTTTGGGGCCAATGTATATACTATGTGGGTACATGGACCCTTAGGGTACATGGAGCCCACTCACGTCGTGAAGGCTCCATGCCATGACTTTCGTTGCAGCATTCCGGAAAGCCAAACCCTACACACCGCAACAGTGTTGTTCTGGAAAGCCAGTTTCTTCTGGGGGAGTCAGGTAGGCAAGGTGGGGGTGTAGGATTAGCGACCACTCTCGCCTCAAACTATCCTAGCAGCTCGACAACCGAAACCCGAACCCTTAGCCCAAACCGTATGTCCGAGTTCAAGCTGCGACTGCAATACCGAAGTGGCGCAAGGTCCGGAACTCATGACATTTGCAGAAAGTATGTAGGGATTATGGACTAGGGCTTGGGATTTAAGGCTACATGGCTTACATATCATATGCTACCGTAGATGGCTCTCGTCACTGAGATGCCCAAAGGTCGGGTTTGTGGTAGATACTCTGCGGAACACGCCCTCAAATTCTAGAACCCGAAACCTCAACCCTAAAGCCACCTGCTTGGGGCGTGAGCTTAGGGGGCAACACCTTGGAAAGTGGCCACGAGATCCTGAAACGGTTTAGGGCTGAAGGCATTTTACCCAAAGAGTCCTAAGCACTTGCATGATGGCAAGGAGCGGTTCAAGATCAGGAAGAACTATGAAGTTGTGGTATGTTCAATTCTTCCACCCTAAACCTAAAGCCTAAGCCCATCTAAACGCAACAGCCTAAACCCATCTAAACCCGAAAGCCTAAGCCCATCTAAACCCGAAAGCCTAAACCCATCTAAACCCGAAAGCCTAAACCCATCCAAACCCTAAAGCCTCAACCCTAAAACCTAAACCCTAAAGCCTAAAGCCTAAACCCTAAAGCCTAAAGCCTAAACCCTAAAGCCCGCAAACTAAACCCTAAAGCCTAAACCGTACACCCTGAAGCCTAAACCCTATAAATCCTAAAGCCTAAACCCTAAAGCCTAAACCCTAAAGCCTAAACCCTAAAGCCCGCAGACTAAACCCTAAAGCCTAAACCGTAAACCCTAAAGCCTAAAGCCTATAAATCCTAAAGCCTACACCCTAAAGCCTAAACCCTAAAGCCGAAAGCCTAAACCCTAAATCAAAAGCTCGCAAAAAGAAGCCCTGCAGGAAGCTCAGCCGGCAAGCCGAAGAGGGTTCGAGATGGTTTAACCTTCAGTTTTGGGCTTAGGGTTTAGGGTTCAGGGTTTAGGGTTTTAGGGTTCAGGGTTTAGGGTTTAGGGCTTAACCTTCAGGCCTAATTGCAAAGTCACACTAAGCACAAAAGACAACTCCAAAATGGCACGTGCAAACTGCCCTCAATCCCTGAACCCCTTATACACCCCTCATCAAACCCCCAACCCAACATTCCCCCGCCTGCATGTCGATGATCATGGCACCCTTCCCTTGATAGCCCGGAGTGTACCTACGTTCACGGTTTAGGGGTTTAGGGTTGAGAAACTTATAGGTAAGGTCAGGTTATTCATAGTCATAGGACAACCCCAACTTGAAGGACGCAATTATAGCCTTATAAACCCTAAAAACCCCTAAAAACCCTAAAAACCCTAAAAACCCTAAACCCTAAACCCTAAACCCTAACCCTAAACCCTAAACCCCTAATTTACCAAGTCTCTGGAGTTTGTAAAGTAGGGGTTAAGGATTGAGGACTGAGGGTTGAGAGGGTTTAGGGTTTAGGACTTTGGGTTTAGGGTTTCGGCACTGGGGTTCAGGATGTGTAGGGCTAGGGGAGTTTAGAGGTTTAAGACTTAAGTCGTTTCAGGATTCGGGTGTGTAGTAGCTTTCTTGGGTTACCTCGGCCCTAAGTAGAGCCAAAGCCCAAACTACCTCCGTGCCGAGTTCTGGAAACCTTCAACCCTAACATTGTGATGTTCTTCGCATGGTGTTTACTGAGAAAGTTTGCTGGAGCAGATGAAGAACTAGACAAGGGAAAAAGGTAGACACATGGTGAAGATACAAAGGTGAACAAATCGTGATGCTGGGTATTAAAAGGTAAAACAAAGGCGACAACGGAAAGGCACGACCAAGGCAGTGTTTTCAGAATGAAACCATGCGCCTTCGAGAGAGACCGTGGGCTTGCACATAGAGTGGGGTGGGGTGCGTGCCTCATGGGCTGGGTTTTGGGTTTAGGGTTACAGCCTTGTAACATATCCTGACACTCAGTCAAGATGGTGTGGCTGCTTGCGACTTCATAACTCACAGCTGACGACACTGTTTGCAACTAAATTTCTCGACAGTGAATCTCGAGAAGTATATTCAAAAACCATACAAATGCAGGACGGCGCTGGTGGTATGCAATCTGAAGAATATCAACAACAAGCGAAACGGTCTGAAGAAGAGCAGCAACAAACAAAGATCTGGGGGACCACCAAAACCACATGACCCACCCCACCCCTCACTGCACGGCAACATCTTGTGGCATCTGTTGCTTTGTTAGTTACATCTCGGAAAGGGAGGGGCTCCTAGTAACCTTAAACCTTAAACATAAAATGACAGGCCGTCTTGCTCAACGCATGCTGAAGTCCGGCTCACCCCCAGGCTCTGCCCAGGCGGGAACATGATAGGGGTGTAGAGTTCGCGGTCTATGGGGTTTAGGGTTTACGCTTTGGGGTTTGGGGTTTGGGTCTATATTGTTTGAGGTTTAGGGGTTTAGGGTTTAGGGTTTAGGGTTTAGAGCTTACCTAGACTATGTTTGCAGGAAGAATGCGAGAAATGAAATCGATCTTTTTTGGTGTAAATGCTAGGCTTGCGAAATCATGCTGGACGGACCGGAATACCAGCAAACCTTTTACTTCTGTAAACAAGCTGGCATGGGTTTAAGGTTTCGGATTTAGGGGTTTGCGTCAACTTGAGACATCTCCGACCACAGCGAAACCACAACTAATTTGCAGAGTAAACCCTAAAGGCGAATCCCTAAACAGATGAAGCGCCGTCTGCGACCAGCGCATACGCAATGACGTCAAGAGGGAAAGGCCTCTTCACTCCAAAGGGGCGCTTCTTGAACCTCGGTGGTTAGCGGGTATAGGAGCCGAAGGACTGTTTAGGGTTTATAGGGTTTAGGGTTTAGGGTTTAGGGTTTAGGGTTTAGGGTCTATAGGGTTTGCCCCCGCAAAAATGGCTGGTTTCACCGTAAAGCCCGTCTGTAGCCTGGGCAAGAGTCAACAACCAAAATGCTAAGAACTTAAGGGTGTTGAGTTCCTACTACCTACAACGGGTCACGAAAAGCTCGCAAAGGTTCTATAGGGGTTTCCAATAAGGATTGAGATAAGGACTAGCTGGCTAGCCCTACACCGCCCCTTACAATCCTTACACCTTAAACCCTTGATCGCTAAATCCTTTCAAGGAGGTTCGGCCTGTCTTACCCGTTTGTCTGTTGTTATGTTGAAAGGATTTATAAGGCTCGGGATGTGGGGTTGGATGTTTGGGTACGTGCATCTTTTGGCAACTCCTAACTAAAACCTACACGCTAAGCCGTTTGGGGTTCGGGCATCAACATGCAGGACTGTTTGCCGAAAGGGTGCTAGCCAGTCTGCCGACGCCTTTGGGCAGGTTTAGGGTCCAGGGTTCAGGTTTTAGGATTGGGTAGTAAACGACTGTATTACGAATTACATGACCACTGCGTTACTAACACTACCTAACAAATATGACTGCTGCTTCTAGACCCTACGCATCTCTACACCCTACGTTCAGCTTGCATCAGCAGACACGATCAACCGTCAGCAATACCCCAAGCAACCTTCCGAAACCATTCCGGAGGGGCCCGCCACTATGAAACAGTTCGAAGTCCTTTGCGACACATGTGCAAGACGAGATGGTGAAATGCTTGCACAACGGAGGGTACCTGGGGGCCGGGTCAAGGTGTGCATGTTTCAAGGAATAGATCACATGAAACATCATGATATCGCAGCGAAGTGTTCTACAAGATGTTATTGCAACATCTTGGTCAATTACCTATGCATGCACCTACTTCTGCATCCGTCGGATCAGAATCTGACTGCAGACGCGGCCCGACTGCGCTGTGTGCCCGAAAATGCTGCAACAGCTCATGCTCGGGAGGCCACGCCAGTACCGCTCATAACCCCTAAACCCTACACCCTACAGAACCCCTACAGTTTGAGGTCTTTGAGGGGTCGCTTTTCAACTTTTCGTGAATGCTGGAAGATTGTCACGCCATCATGCAGGTTTCCGTTGTGGGGTAACGCTTGGCGTCGACTGCCGTGTAAAAATCGCGATCTCCAAGATTCATAGACAGGCAATGGCAATCTAATCCTCATCCCTCGTGCATTGGGTACAGCTTTCGGATTCAGTTTTATGGCTTAGGGACAAGGGGCAAGATTTTTTATGTTGAGTCAGAGTCCCAGCGCAAGCAAGCATAGGGACACTGCACACACGAAAACGTTCGAGAAATGAGCTGGGGATCAGAACAAACCACTGGCCTTGGTGGAGGAGAAAGAGATGACGAGTGTGATAAACACCACCCTCACAGCGTTGAACACCAGCACAAACCGCAAAACCCAGTTATGACCAAAAACCCCAAAACAAAGCCGTGGCTTACCGAAAATCGTGGGGTTAAGGATCAGGAAGTTGATGTTCGGTGTTGTCCCATTCGAAGCGCACTACTCATAAACCCAAGACTGAATTTCTACTGCAAGAAACCCCGCAACCCGAATGGTACGCAAGCACAGACCTGAAACCATAAACCCAAAAGAGTTGCGGTAGAAAAGCCAGCGAGCTTGTTTCCTTTCGTCTTGAGCCTCCGTTAGCCGGCCTACCTCGCCTGGTGTGCAGTATGTGGAGTTCCTTCTGCATGGTTGTTTAGGGTTGATGGTGTTAAACCCTAAACCCTAAACCCAAGGGTTCAGGGTTTAGGGTTGAGCGTAGGGCTAAGAGTACCTTCTTAAAGACCTTGTACAATGAAATCTCAATAAGGAACCCCACAAGAAAAAGGTACGAGTAGGCTTCAACATCAGGGTCCAGGGTTACGGGTGTAGTAGGATTTTGATCAAGGTTGAGGAGGGTTTAGGGCTGTATTAATATTAAGGTTTGGATGTCTTGGAGTTTAGGCATGTTTAGGCATTAGGGTCCAGGGGTTAGGGATAAACCTAAGCCGAACCCTAAATAGGAAGCAGCTTATACCCTGATAGAACCATGATAGCAACCGTTACGCTTGCAATTTTTGTACCCAAGACTAATGGGACCAAACCTTGAACCTTTCCGGAAGAGCATCCAAGTAAGGTATTGATCTTGCTCCATCATAAGGACCCATTACTCTTCGCATTACCCGCGGAGCAAACCTCACACCCGCAAGCGTCCACCCTAAACCCTCCATCCTCAACCCCAACCCTAAACCCAACCCTAAATAGAAATTACCCTATGGAAACGCTAACCTTCAGAGAACTTGAAGACATTAACCCCAAACCCGCCACCCGCTGACCCAACCATAAATACCTGTCATAGACGTTCTTATAACCATTATAGTAGCCTGAGAAAGTAACCCTGATAAATAACTCTTAACATCGAAACCCTTGCAGAATCGCAGAAAACCAAACCCAAACCCCCATGCAGACCCCCAACAAATAAACCTAAATCTCTAAATCCCTAAAATCCAAATCCCTAAACCCTGCGCAATAAAGCCTAAACTCAAACACCTGAACCCAAATCACCCCGAAACCCGTACTTGCCTCCTGACCCTGGGACTGTCGGTGCTCTCTGAGAATCAGGCTCGGCGGTGGTCGCGGTGCTGACGCCCTTCCCAACTAAACCCTAAACTCTAAACCCGAAACCCAAAGGCTCTCGGGTTGAAAAAACATGGGCCCCGAGGTTTTGGAGCTAAGGTCGCCCTTAAAAGCTTTAAGGGTTCCTTTAAGGGATCCTTTAAGGGTTCGTTTGAAGGATCAGTTTTGGGTTTAGGGTTTAGGGTTTCCCGAAACCATGGGCCCTTAACCCTGGGATCCTTATACACCTGCTATATACTCCCTATATGTACCATTAATGGTCCCTAGAAAGGCCTACGGGTCCATATTAGGGGCCCATACTTCAAACCTTAGTAAGGCTGAGCTTAGTAGGAAGGGTTGGGTCAGGCCCTGAAGGCTTAGGGGCGTAGAGGCTTAAGGGGCTTTAGGGGGACTTAGGGGTGGGGGTTTAGGGCCTAGAGTTTAGGGCTTTGGGGTTCGGGTTTGGGGTTTCAGGCTTAGGGCTGTGATCAAGGTTCTGAGGGAGGCGCTCAAAGGGTTTCTACAATGGGGCTTTGGGATGATGAAGGTTCTATAAGGGTTTAGGGTTTAGGGTTTAGGGTTTAGGCGCTTCTTACAGGGGCTATACAATGGTCACTTGACTTCAGGGGCACTATGAGAGCTTCCTTTGGGGTTCTGCTAGCTGCTTCCCCTAAACCCTAGACCCGAAACCCTAAACCCTAAACCCTAGACCCTAAACCCTAAACCCTAGACCCTAAACCCTAGAGCCGAAGCCCTGAACCCTAAACCCTAAACCCTGAACCCTGAACCCTAAACCCTAATTCCGGGTTGGGTTTAGGGCTTTCGGAGTTAAGGTCTCGGGCTTGGGATTTCATGCAGGGGCCTTAGGGGCTTTCAAATGGCTGCAATATGGTTAGGGTTTAGGGTTTAAGGCTCAGGGCTCAGGGTTTAGGGTTTAGGGTTCAGGGTTTGGGTTTAGGGTTTAGGAATTTAAGGTTAAGGGTCAAACGAGGCAACATACACCGCCTGTGAGGAATTTCTCCACCATTTCCTGAGAATGCTCGACCGAGGTTCCGCGTGCGTCACGTCATTGCCTGATCCGCTAGCCGCAAGACCTGTCCAAATTGATGTGGCCAATTGTACAATCTGCCACGACATCCTGTTGTGACGGGCAAGCAGCTGCTCAATAGCCACCGCCTTGATGTATACAGTCCTTGCCGACGCCTGTGCCTTCAGGAGGCTGAGCGCCCCGCTGAGCATCAACCAGGAGCTTGCCGAGCCCCTTGCCCTTGATGCCTTTGGCATCAACCCTAAACCCTAAACCCTAAACCCTAAACCCTAAACCCTTGATGCCTTTGGCAATTGTACGATGAATCTGAACTGGCTGGGCCCTGACCTGAAGGAGGCTAGCCATCTCGACCCTAATCTTGGATAGCATCGTTGAGCTTCCAGCCCTTGTCTGAAACCAAAGCAAAATTGTGTTGCCACAACTTACAGTCTGCCTGCTGAGCTCTTAGGGTTTAGGGTTTTGGGCTTTTTGGGGTTTACCGGGTTTAGGGTTATAGGGTTTAGGGTTTATAGGGTTTAGGGAATATAGGGTTTAAGGAATTTTAAGGTTTATAGGGTTTAGGGTTTTTGCGTTTTGGGTTTCTAGGGTTTTTTGGGTTTATAGGGTTTGGGGTGGTTTCAAGCTTCAAAAGTCAGTATTCCTAGCGGATCCTAGCGGTTTACGGATTGCAGCTTTGCTTTTTTCAGGTGGTTTAGTGATTCGGACTTGGGTGCTTCTAGAAAAGTGGACCGGAGCAGAAACGTTCACGCCTCCAAAGTGCTAAAGACTGGATCGCTTTTCACCCACCTCAGCTGGCAACTCAAGGTGTGACATGGGGGGGCCTGGTACTTAGGATTTTTGGGGGTAGGTTGCACTATACATAGATTTAGAACCCTAGGGAATTTCAAAAGTGAGTACTGTAAATCATGCAGGCTTCTACTTCGGATGCTAGGGTTTTAGGGTTTAGGGTTTAGGGTTTAGGGTTTAGGGTTTAGGGTTTAGGGCTAGGGTTTGGGGTTTGGCTTCGAGTTTAGGTCCACAGTTGTCGGTGGATGAGGCTTTGGTTTAATTAGGCTTCGGGGATGCGCAATGAAGTCCCAACCCTCCGGGCATAATCCTAACATCGGGGACTAAGAACTAAAACCCTAAACCCTAAACCCTAAACCCTAAACCCCGTATGTGCTTTACTATGCTACACGTAATAAAGCAACCCTACAGTTAAAGCTGAGTACTGCCAACAGCACAGCTAATTCAATAAGCCTTCTATACTACATAAGCAGTCAACCCTAAACCTTACACCTGAACCCTAAACTTCTATCTTACATAGGCGGTCAACCTGACGACCTGAGGCACCCTTCGCCAACAAGAACCTCTGAACCTGCTGCAGCCTCACTCATTCGGTTTGGGGTTTAAGGCTTAGGGTTTAGGGGTTCGGGTTTGGG